GACACAGAGACAAAAACATAAAGCAGCTTCATGGTTTGTCGGCTTTATTTCAGAGGAACAGATGTTCATAGAGGAGAGGAGTTTGATTCTCTGGACTTTACCTGTGAAGCAGCAGCAGAGGAGAGTACAGATGAGGACGCAGATCAAAGTCATGTTTTTGATGAGGAGGATTTCTGTGTCTTCTGTTGTCATGAAGGACAGCTGTCAGTCATCCAGAGTTCAACTCTCAGGACTATAAACTCTCCCAGAGCGCTGGAGCATGGAGCTGCTGATGCAAAGTGGCTATATGGAAATAATCTGAGTCCAACGGATATTGAGATTTATGTATTAAAACATGCATTTATATTTTTTCACCTATTGGATGTTTTTAATTTTATATCGCTGTATGTTACTTTTTAATGGTTATTTCCATTACACAATATATACATTTACAAAATGTTTAGGAATGTTTTGTGCCTCTAAAATCTTTTCTTTCCTAAGGTTATTTGGTCATTATTTTTTCATTTTACTTTTTACGAGGACACAGATAGATAAATATTTTTTTTATTTCTACATTAAATTAAGGGTTACTATGTAGTTTTGACTTTCTACCATTCCATAAAATACAACCTTATTTATATAGCACTTTAATCTAAGTTTCTAAGTCTTATCTAATATCTAAGTTGAACAAAAACTTTTACAGTATAAGTTAAAGACAATATTTGAAATTTATGGTCAAATGAAACAGTTACCAGCTCAGATACACAAATATAAATATTTGAAATGGCCAACATTTCCGGATGTGCAAAAGGTTTTGACAAATGGGTGGTTTATTTTTTTGTTTGTTTGTTTGTTTTATTTAACACAGCATTCTGAGGATCATGTTTTTTTTTTGTTTTTTTGTTTTTTTCCAGGGCATTTAACGTAATTCAGCCTGAGTTACTTTGTGAGAAACTCCAGAAGTGTCAGGTTGAGGAAACAAAAATTGCCTGGCTCAAATATTAAGTCACAGATATTTGCTCTTCTCCTGTTTTGGCCACTCTGACCATTCCAGAAAGATGTGAGTCAGCTCAGAATAAAACCATAAAAAACACAATAACAAGCAATTAAAATCCACTGTCTTTATATTGTTATGACTAGTGTTGCACCGATACCGATACCAGTATCGGACGGGGCCCTAAAAATGGTGGTATCGGCGAGTAGCAACAAATAGGGTACTGTTACCATTTTGAGAGCCATAAGTTTATTCAACTATTGTCACCCACTCCTGTTAGGCAATAAAAAGTTCTACTGGATTCACTTTGTATTAGATTTTTTCCTGCTTCACAAAGGTACTGTAGGCAGCAGCTTGACAAAACCATGATGGCAATTATTTTACATTATTATGGTATCGGTATCGACCGATACTGCACAGCCAGGTATCGGGTATCAGTATCGGGGCCAAAATATGGCATCGGCGTAACACTAGTTATGACGGGCTTGTCTAGGTCTAGTTTAAATTAAAATTTTCAAATAGTATTCTATTAGTCTTTGTAGGATTTTATGCAGCCCTGCCTTGCTACAATCATATTGTAATGGCAATCTCTATAGTTATTAGTTTGAAAGCACTGTGCTGCAGTATTGCAAAGATGTGTCCCTGGGGACACCCACTCCCAAGTAATCGTAAAAAGCAATTTCTGAGGGAATGCAAACATATATTGAGATTTTCAGTTAGAAAATGATGTAATGATAATATATTACATTTCTGTCAGTAACTCCCTATAATTATGACACTGTACCTCTAAATATAAATCTATCAGTCGTATAACATTCATATATTAATGTAATTCTCTACTTTTGCCAACAGTTTGCTAACAATCAGTGGCGGCCGGCCCATAGGGGGCGCTGGGGCACCGCCCTCCCTGATAAGAAGAGAGAAACGTAAAATATATTTTTAGAAATTAACTCATAAATGTCAGATTTACTCTCTAGACTGTGTACCTATAAGCAAAACAAATTATATAAACTACATTTCCCTATCTACTGTCATTAATTTGTGGATTTCCACTGACAGACTCCTACCGTCTCTGTTCTGGGGGCGCTGATCAGACAGCCCCACATTTGCAGAGAATCTGTCAATCATGTACTATTGCTAGGTGAACTTAATGGCCAATCAGCGTCTTGGAACTTTATGGTCTTGGGGCTCTGAAAATACTGCTCTTTAACAGGCTTCTGAACCCAAGCGCAGGTGCAGACAATTAGAGGGAAGATGGCGAATGTAACGAACGAGATGCAGCTTCCACCAATTTCGGTGAGATCCTTATTTATCTACCCGTTTGCCAGAAGAACATCCCTGTTGTAGGATATGAAAATTTCATGTCATGGTTATTGTGACTGTGACGAATCCACCTCGTCGCTTAAAACAACCTCTCTAACTTTGCGCGCCACACACACATTCCTGTTATACTGTGTTTGTGAGGACCAATACACTCGCGCTGAGCCCAGTAGCTCCATGAACTTAAAACACACAAGCTGTTCCTGGTTACCTGCTGGCGTATTGAGGGTGCACACTTAATATTTCAGTGGGGTTAGCCGTGTGTGTGTGTGGGTGTGTGGGGGGTGTGGGTGTGTACATGTTTATGCTATGGGGACTTGTCATCTTCAGTCTGGCTGCGTCTTTGCTGGGTTCAAACCCAGTTTGGTGTAATTGAATAAGTCAATGAATCTGTGTAAAAGAATTAAGTTGTAAAAATTATTTGTTTTTGTACATCAATTGTTTGTGGAGGTAATATATGGACAAAACTGATTTATGAGAAGAAATCAGAAATAAGAGAGCCTGAGGGTAGGGGCTTAAACTATTTAATGAGGGCTGTGGGAAGAAGAGCGGCCATTTCTGTTTCTTTGTTACATTGCTGGTAACTGGAGAGAGGCTGAGGCCCAGAGTATCTTGTAAATGTTTAGTTTCTTTTGCACCCTGTTTTGAGTTTTTGAGCACAATAAATCACCAACACCGGTAACCCGACTGAGCCTGGATTCTTGGAGGCCAAAGAACCCCGTCACAGTGACCCAAATCATCACTGTTACTGTTATTATATAGTAAATTAAATCATTACTGTTAAATTGTATGTATTGTCCAATTGTTTATTTGAATTCTTATTCCGGATTAGTTGGAGACATACACTAGGCTATATCAGCCCCACCAAAAATATTTTTCACCAGCCGCCACTGCTAACAATATTATGAATATTTTTAGTGGTCAAGTCAGATTCTTGACTTGATTATAATTCTATGGTACGAGCTTAATTTGAGTGTGATGGCAAGTAGACCTTCCAACCTCAAAGTTTTCAAGGACTTCATCAAAAATAAATCTTTAAAATATTGCTGAAAAGTTACTGTTCAGCAATCTACAAAAGGATCTGAAAAAAGTAATACTAAATGCAAATGTCATCAAAACCAAAACTGTTGATAATACGGCTGTACAGTGGTGTGGTTGTTTAGACTGGTGCCTTACATCAACATAGTTCTAGCTTTGGATTCCAGTCTGGGCTTTTTCTGTATGTAATTTCAATGTTTTAAAAAAAAAACTGCTGTAGAAAATAGTCCATATAATCCCAGTTGGGTTAACTGGGATCATTAATATGTCTTTATTAGAGTATTTTACTGTGTTGCCTGGTGATTGAGTAGTGACTGGTCCATACTGAACTTTACTTCTGTTCCCATGGATGAGAGGGTAAAGATAACTGATAAATACTTGAATGGTTGTCAATAATTTTTCAACAATTTGTCAATAATTTGTCAATAATTTGTAACAGGCCAATTGTTAATATAAAAAAATTACACAAAAATATATGAAAGAAAATTTAGAGGCTACCTTTTTTTCACAGACCCATAGTTGCCTGAGGTCTTAAACTGTAGAAACAATCAGTTTCTTTGGTAAACCCACATATCCAATTGAATCAAATTAGAAAGGCATACATTATCATCAGCTTTTTGGCATGTTTCTAATAGGAGCCTTACAAAATAATTTAACAATTGTTAACAATGATCTTACTGATTGATGATTGCCAGACTGATCAGTTTCTTAAATCCAAAAGCAATAAAAATGCAAAAAGAAATAACAGAACTAATTGGAATACTTTATAGGGTTTAATTATAATTCTATTTTATCAAGGTTTAATATTCTCATGTTTGAGAAAGGTTTTCATCCTGTAGAATTTGTTTGTGTCAGAGTCAGACAGCCGTGTCTTTAACAATCTGAGGTTTTTGTACGACGGTTGCATTAGTTTGTATCAGTGTGGTACACGTTCGGTGGAGGAACCAGACTGGATGTTAACTGTAAGTACAACTAAGCTTTTCAAGATTAGTTTTCTCTCTGATGTCATTTTTTAAATGGTTTTTGTTAAGAGGAAAAGTGTATTTGAGGGGATTTACTTGTTATTTATTTATTTAAAAACTTTGATGACGGAGTTGCACTAATAAGATGAGTATCAATACTTGTTAATAGTTTCCATTCAGAAAAGAAGAAAACTGATAACCAAAACTTAGCAGTATAAATATCTAAATTATAGTCATGTTTTACTATTCTACTGTCAGATTGAGTATGTTTTATAGAACAACAACTTTAACCTCTTTTTTCTTATATTTTATATTATTAAGAAGCGGTGTGTCACTGGATGTAGTTTAATTTCAGTCTCATTTATGTTTTCTCTAATGTTTTGATGACAGTTTTTAAAGTTTTTGAAATTGTCTGAAATCTTTTTTTACTTAAATTTAATATTTACACTACTTAAAAAAAAAACAGAGTCTCTATGTGGTTGTTTATTTAATTTTTGTAATTTAAATGGAAGTAAAAATCTTCTCAACGCTGTAGAAAAAAGTTGTTATTATGAGATCTTACAGTAAAGTGGGCATATCATTAATTTCAAAAAGCAGGTTTGTTGAGAACACATGAAAAAGAATCCAGAAAGAAATGTCGGTTGTTTTATATTTGATACTGAAAAATGTCTGTTGTTCTGGTTGAGCAGTGGTGCATTTGCGTTGCAATGGTTACAAAACCAAGAACGAGAAGTGAAACTTAAAAGACTTTAATCTGTGACTTTGCGTTTTCTTGTCTCTCTGCAGTGGGTAATGTTCGCCCCACCGTGACAGTGCTGCCCCCCTCCAGTGAGGATCTGCAGCAGGGGAAGGCCACCCTCATGTGTCTGGCCAACAAGGGCTTCCCCTCAGACTGGAGTCTGTCCTGGAAGGTGGAGGGCAGCATTAACACCTTCACCTGGGAGGAGAACAAGAGCAGAGGAGTTATGCAGAAGGACGGCTTCTATAGCTGGAGCAGCACCCTGAGGCTCCCTGCAGACCAGTGGAGGAAGGTGGGCTCTGTGACCTGTGAGGCCACCCAGGGCTCCCAGACTGCAGTCACAGAGACACTGAGGAGAGACCAGTGCTCCCAGTACTGAGTTGGAATTGTTTTTTTTGTTTTGAAACTGTTATTTTCTTCTATGTTCTTTGAGATATATTCATAACTTTCCTTCATATTAAATACCTTGCTGCAAAGAAGAACGTTTCCAATTATGTTTTGATTTGATTTGTTTATTTTAAGCAGAAACCGTGTAGCAGAATGTTTAATAGAATATTTTCAATAAAGACTTTCTGAAAGGATTTTGTGTTATTTTGTGAATTAGACAAGAATTGAGATGCACTCTTCATTTCATATGGATTCCTGCTTTGCAACATCAATGAAATAAAAACAAATTTTTTTGTTGCATCCAGAAATTCCATCTTCATAAACAGTAAGGGATGCAACGACAATACAGAGACACTGAGGAGAGACCAATGCTCCTAGCCATGTGCTGATTCAGTAAAAATAGCTTTTTTCTTCTACTTCAGACCCCTTCCTTTAAATTTGTTTGTTAGGCTTCATCTTTAGAATCTTCTTTCTTGTCCAAAATTTCAGTTTCCTTTGAAAAACAATAAAAGACAATTGATTGCTTCTGCTTTTCTTTTAAATTAATTTATATTATATCAACAATAAATTACTATTATTCTTAGTCGTTACCTTTTCAGACAAAAAATATTTTCCACAACAACTGCTGAAGCTGATATATCAGGTTTAGATTAACATTGTTTTTGACAAGATTTTAGGAAGGCTCCTGACATACATCTAAAGACACACGAGCACCAGACAGATAAAACTACAAAACATAAAACCAAAGGAGCACTTCATATAGGAACAAACTGGGTTCTAGGTTTTGTATCATGTAGTCACTGAAAGAAGAGGTTTAGTTAGTGGAGACCTAAATAAAGTGGATGTCAGGTTGCAATGAGTGAGAGAAACTTGTTCAGGGCTGAAGGCAGAACTATTGCATTGGGTGAAGGAACAAATCTTGATGCCAACCAATGATTCCAAAGATGGAAAATGCATGTTCATTTTATATTTGATTTAAGGCTTCTTATTCTGGAAATCTAATTGAAATACAGATCAAACAAAAGCCAATGAAATTATATTTTGTTAACTTTGGTCAAAGTGTTTATAAGGTGAAGGACAACTCTTCTAGCAGGTTTGAACATGAAATTATACCCTTGATTTGCATTTCTGCTTATCTGTATCTGTGACCATCAAAAGAGTAATCTGGAAATATAACTAAATGCACATATAAAGGCGTATCCACCTGAAATTGTACAGCTAAGATGCACAATGTAGAAGTGAGTATAAATCTAATGTAGAAAAGACACCTGGAATGGCCAGATTTACACTACATTTGGCGGTCCTGTGCAGGTTTAAATTATACGTTTCGTAGACATTTGAAAATACATCACTTGACATTTCATTCTGCACCTTCATTAGAACAACATCAGACTAGCTAATGCCAGCTAAAAAAGATGTCATAAGGACATCTGATTATGGTTTAAAGTAAATGCAAGTAGAACATGAGAATTGCTCTCAGCCAAGAAAGATTTATCTTGTTCTTAACTTCCTTCATTTTTTCCTAAATGGGGACATTGACTTTCAACCCTACGTCAGATTTGGTCTTGAACAAGAAACCACATTTTCGAGGTGTATTAAAATATTCTAACCTGAACAAATTCTGCAAAACCAGAAACAAACTCCAATGTGCACTAATTATCTAAATATATCAGTGATTGTATGTGTGTCTGAGTTTAGTGATCTGTGTTAGAGTCTGTTTTCATTCAGCAGGAGTTTCTGTTTTGTCTTTAGGGAGGTTTTTGTACGACTGTTTTTCACTGTGTGAACAGATGCTGACTGTTGATGTAATGATAACTCTGACAGTAATAAACTGCAGCATCTTCAGCCTGAACTCCACTGATGGTCAGAGTGAAGTCAGAGTTTGATCCACTGCCTGTAAAACGACTTGGAGTCCAGGAGTCTCTAGTGCTAGCATAATAAATGAGGCGCTTGGGAGTTTGTCCATCTTTCTGTTGGTACCAGGCTAAACGGTTAGAGCCATAAACATTCTGACTGGTTGTACATCTGATGCTGACAGATCCTCTCAGATCAGCTCTCACTGCCGCAGGCTGAGTCACTGTGACCTGACCTCTGGAGTCTGAGGACACAGAGACAAAAACATAAAGCAGCTTCATGGTTTGTCTGTTTTATTTCAGAGGATCAGATGTTCATAGAGGAGAGGAGTTTGATTCTCTGGACTTTACCTGAGAAGCAGCAGCAGAGGAGAGTCCAGATGAGGACGCAGATCAAAGTCATGTTTTAGATGAGGAGGATTTCTGTGTCTTCTGTTGTCATGAAGGACAGCTGTCAGTCATCCAGCGTTCAACTCTCAGGACTATAAACTCTCCCAGAGCGCTGGAGCGTGGAGCTGCTGATGCAAAGTGAATCTATGGAAATACTCTGACTGACTCCAAGACAGACTTTAGATTACTAAAATGAATTACTTCATGCATTTCTTACAAATTTTTCTTTTAACCTCCAAAACTGTGCAAAACATATGTTCGATTATCTCATTAAAATGGGAAAAACTGACTCAAAAAATGAAAAGAAAAACAAACAGAGAACTTAACCATTTCTATGAGAATTTTTTGTTTCTTTTAATGTATTTCTAAAACTGTTTCTCCAAGGGATTTGGAATTATTATTTATTTTTCTTGATGTTGTTTTGATAATGCATCCATCTTCATGTATCTAGCCAACAAGGGCTTCCCCTTAGACTGGAGTCTGCCCTTCAGCCAAAGAGTGCCGCATAAGGACGGCCTCTACAGCACCCTGAGGCTCCTTGCAGACCAGTGGAGGAATGTGGGTTCTGTGACCTGTGAGGCCACCCAGGGCTTCCAGATTGCATTCATAAGCCCCAATTACACTACCCTCCAAAAGCGATCAGTGTCGAGTTCAGACCGAGCTTGGATAAGTTAACCACGTCGAGCTTGCTTCCTTACAACTATTTACACATCAGGTTAGCACGGTTCCTTGCCTCCTAGTGACGATCTACGGTACTACTGCTCTTGAGGATTCTCTAGCATACTCTAGATACCTGGTTTCTTTCAATTTCTTGTATCATATTTAGCTGATTTTGTGGGTGGCGTTGGAGTGACTCCTATTGTTGGTTATATGCTGCCATCCAGAGGGCATCAGAATCTATTTCAGCTCTTTGAGCTCTGGCAAGAAACTTACTAATGTGTATATGCTTCATTCAGACCACAAGCCATGGAAGCAGCAAAAGCATCTGGTTTACATGCAAAGGTAATCATCATGTGCATTGAGGCGCATTAAAAGGTCTTGCAGGACGTTTCGAGCAACAGAAGTAGCTCATCTATATGCTTTAAAGCAGCTGAAGCGGTGCCCCATCAGCGTCTGAGGTGTGTGACGCGCTTCACAAGCAGCAGTTGCTGGAGTTGGAAAAATTTACCTTTTACTGCTCAACGCGCCACATCAGCTAGCAGGGAGACAGACACAGCACTGCTGATGCAGACTGCTATGATCACTCCTCTGAAACAGTTTATAAACGTCTAAAAGAACTTAAAATGTCAAAACTCGCCATCAAAATATCTTTGCTTTTATTATGCTGGTGTGTGCAATTTTGGTTACTTACATGAAAACCGCTAACATCTCCTTCCAGCCACCACGAACAGTGGTGGAAAACCTCCAAGAGGCAACCGGGCCAGAGGCTGCTGTTGCTGGTACAGGAGTTTTGTGCTGGTCTGACAGCAAAATAATATTTGAAGGCAGGATCATAATTTTGATCAACTGACTGCGCATATGATGTTTTCAGCTGGATTTTCTCACTTGAAAATATATTAAAACTACTTTTTACCCACTGATCACTGCAAATATAGCAAAACTGCTCACTGCCATTAAACACAGGAGCAACAGAAGCATCAGATGCATCTGTGCACACTTTACTGGACGTGCTTCAGGAGTGTCAAGAATGCTCAAGACGCGTGTGTGACCATAATGTGTACAAGCATCAAAAATTAAGCAGCAGGCACTTTTTTGCTGCTCAAATCACGTTGTAGCATTAACACCAACTACTGGAATCTGACTGTAAGGAGATGACGTGGTCTGCTCATGCACTCTTTTTTATCACAGAACCAAGCCACAGCTGAACCGCTCCGAGCCTTTCTGTTGAACTAGTACTAGTTTAGTGTGTTTCAGTTGTGTCTGGCACATACCGGCTCCGTTTGGGTGCCATTTACACACAGATATCTCGGTTACTTTGCTCCAACGGTTTCAAAAGGGTAGTGTAAATGGGGCAACTAGAGACACTTTGGAGAGAACAGATCTCCTAGTCTTTAAGTTCATTCACTTTTTTGTTTTTATAATGCTAATTTTACTTTGCACTTTAAGTTGAACTTTAATTATGAATAAAGAGTTTGTCTAAGATTGAATGCTTCAACATAATTGCTGATTTGGTTTGATTGCTTTTTAATCAAAAAACCTGCTGCAGAACCGTTTTTAATTCAGTTTATTTATATAGCACCAATTTACAACACAACTCATCTCAGGGCACTTTACAGTTCACCAGATCATCCAGTCAAATCGATTCAAAGTTTTCTATCTAAGGAAAACAAGTTGATTGCATCGACTCATTGATTCAAATGCAATCCCTTACACTACGCATGCTTGTAGGGACAGTGGAGAGAAAAACTCCCTTTTAACAGGAAGAAACCTCCACTAGAACCAGGCTCAGTGTGAGCGGCCATCTGTGAGGCCAACTGAGGTTCAAGGAGACAGAAGCAGAGATACAAAAAGCAACTGTAAAAGGGCTCCATCCAGGAAACACAGCCAGAAAGACAAGCTCCGAGCCAGCTCGCATGTCAGAGGATAAAGAGATCACATCCAGGGAGTCACAGTCAAAGAAACAGGACTACACCTCAAAAAAAGGCCGATATCCAACATCTACCGTATTTTCACGACTATAAGGCGCACTTAAACGTCTTTTTTCCCCCTCAAAATGTGCGGTGCGCCCTATGGTGCGGTGCGCCCTATG